GGAGAACTTCTATAGCAGTAAACTAATCGTCTGCTAGCGTTTTCTAATTGCGTCTTATCGTTCGTTAAACAGTCAGGAAAATGTTGCAACTACCGGTTGAACAACTAGTATAAGCCAAGAGTCAAGAATGCTTGACTTAAAAGCCCATCTATAGTTAACGATAGCATATGATTACTTTAACGGTTAATTAGCGTTGTTTAATAGAGCACGTAAAGTGACAGAGAGAGGAGCATTAAGACTCACTTTGAAGGTTCGTCGCAGTGTACGATAACAATTGGATAATATTGCAGCCACGTGTCTTGCATCATTTTTATTTCTTATTATAGTACTAATAGGACCTAACTATCGGATGGCAGAAGGATAGATCAATTTAAATCGACTATGTCGATTTACTAGCAGTCTGACATCGCAAATGGGACGTCGCATAATACTATCAAAATAAATTGCTCTAACTCATGTAGTTATGTATTTTGTAAACTGCACTGAGAGAAAATTATTTAGTATTTCTAATTATAATTGTATGAAAATATGATTCATTTATATTACTATTATAATATTAGTAATAATAATTATATTTGTAGTTCTATAAAAAATATATACATAGTTGATACCGAAAATGTATAAATTATATTAAATTATGGTAATTGTAACCATTTTTTCTCAGTGTTATACTATTTAATCGAATGTTTTAAATACTTAAAAAGTCTCGGCTAAATAATTTAATCAAAATTAATTCAAGATTTTAATATGCTCAAAATTATCATTATCTTTTATCGTACGCCCGCAAATGATCATATTGTTGATCAAATACTTGTACTTGCTTGCAAACAGATAGAATAGTTTACACTAGGAAGAAATAACTTGCGATATGCTTGAATCACAAGGTGGAATTCAACTTGTTAGCATACCATCGCTGCATGAAGCGCGACGTGTATGGCCCGATTAAGTCGGACCTCCTAAGACCATCGTGATCAAACAAAATGTGAGTCATTGTATTCGTTGGCGTTACAATGAGTTGCGTTCGTACAGCTCATCTAAAATTAATTTCGTCACAGCATGTTAAGTACCTCGATGCATTGACTTGCATTTTTACCTTGCCCATCCTGTGCACCCGTTTTCTTTCGCATATCAATCTCACACATCTGCTCACGTCTGCGTTACGCCAAAATACACTCAGTCGCAGGCAATATTAGAGAATCGCACACACCAGCTGTAATTATTTCCGTCGAACGTGAAGACATGAATCTTTGCACTTACGAAAGATCATGATACGCGTATCTTTTATCGATAGGGATGTGTTAATTAGCTACTTTCATTGCCTTCGAAGAGATATGTCGCGATTGAATCCTTTCGAGATACCGAGTAATCTATTTAAAATAAGACTTTCCATTCTTGCCGTACAGTGTATTACCGTAATTAGAAAGTATAATAGGTGCCGTATGTTCAGCGCTGCCAGGGGTCTTTGTCCGAGCGCCTACGAACTTCCTTGATATTAATTGACAACCTATTATGATAATCAAGTATAGGTGTCAATTAATGAATGCACGAACATAAGCATGACCGTTCACAGGCAAGGCACGAATCTACGTATCCGCGAAGTTGGTCACGTTTTAGCTAATCTGGTTTCACGCTCCAACAATTATGCTCCGAGAGGCGCCTTTCTACATTCCACCGTAATAATCACGAATCGTTCTACTAATATTGTTCGTATCTACTATTTTCGTGTTATAATAATTTATTATGGAATTGTAAAATAATTTTGATATAACGTACATTTAATAATATAATCGATGATGTCGAGGCATCTCAAATTAGGCATTTATATGATCGATGCGCATTCGTCTGCACTTTCTTATACAGGAATACTGTAATTTACGTCAGTTGAACGCAATTACCGTAATTTATCACACTTGATTACATTCATTTATATTCAATATATACGTGAGAAAATTGTTATATCGTTTAAACAATCATGCTAGTCTTGAATTTTTATATACGCATATAAACGTGTGCGTCTCACGTAGCTATTATTTCACGGTACAAATCTGATGTCCTTTTAAATATGTAAATGCAGTTTAATAATTACACTTTCACGATAATCTAGCATTCGTGCCATTATCTCCATTATTTCACAATATTTGTTCGATGGGTTTTTCTATGTGTAAGTGCAGTTAAGTAAATACACTTTCACGATAACCTAGGATTTGCGCTGGTCTGAATATACGCGTCACGATGAGGGCGCAACAATAAATTAACAAGTTACAGATAAACTTCCATGAAAATGCGGGTTGATTTTCTCGTGTAGGTAAACAATTGATGACATTGTGAGATAACGCGAAACACTTCGGAAGCGGAAGCAGAGAATGCGATATGTGGACTTTTAAAGAACTGTGTTGCGGGATATTTGCTGTTGGGGTATATATATGAAATTTAATAATCACTCTTATATGCACGCGCATGTACAATGCGTAAAAGGGTCGCACGCCTATTTGGAGAGGATTATAGCCTGTACTGAAACGGACGATCCCTCTGATTAAACGACTCGAGGAGAAAAAAGAAAAGGAAGAGGGAGAGATATTTATCATGACCCTTGAGGCAATATTTCATATACTCTACAAACCGCTTATAATCATGAAGATGGACCGGGCGCAAATCGATCTGTTTCGATAGAAGATTCAATATCCTGATTGGAAAGTGTGCAAATCGTACGGAAGTAAAAGAGTATTGTCAGCACACGCGTGAATTTACGTTGATTTACGATTTTGATCGACGATCACTTTATGGAATCCGGTTTGCAACGGTGCTCGCAATTACCTTACATTGTGCGTCGAGAGAACCGTATGTTAAGTATCGACGATTTTAGCACTTTAGGGTTTTATTTACCCAATGCTTATTTCTGAAAAAAATAATTTTTGAAGAATACTACCTCAATCAACGCATGATATTAATAATATTAAGAGAATTAAGGCCGTTTTTGTTGCAGATGAAAATAAGTGGATACACGATTTCTATTAATAACACAATTTGAAAAATATTTATATATATATATATAAAAATAAGACACTATAAAGTAACGTGATAAATTAATTGGACGATAATTCCTTACTCTATATGGATTGACAGGAGATTATATATTCATACTGCTTATAGTTATTCTTGAGATTACTAGCAGCGTGAAAAAAAGATAACATTGCACGTGGCATATAATTCTCTCACGAGTCTAGTGCTTCGTCGTGAGACGGAGGGAAAATAGTTCTAATAATTCGAGATTCTTGGGGGAGTCAGCCACGTGCATGTAGTACGTGAACGAACGCCATCAGGGTGAACAAAGATTATCCCGCGTAACACACGTGCTGCGTTCAATGATCGATCGTGAAAAAGATACACAGCCGTTTCGTGTAATTATATTTCCAAGGACGATAGAATTTGATTTATAAATTTATGGAATACGTATAGTACAAGATTTATCGCTGAATTAATAAGTAATGTCTGGTTCCTTAAGAGATTAATGTGTAGTTATTGTTGAAGATTAATATGCACTTGTAAATATCTTTAACAATTATACTTTCCATGCGTCAGAAATGCGTCAATGGACTTCTTGAAAAAAAAAAAAAAAAAAAATAACGAAATAAAAATATCTTTATTTTCTTTATCTCTGCTCTCTACATGTGTATGTCTTCTTTGTTTTCTAAATGTGTTGCCAGTATTGAAATTATTAAATGAAACATTTTAAAAATAACGTAATGAAGTAGCCCATTTTATTTACGTTTGCAATTTATAATCTACAGATACAATCGTTTTATTGCATAATAAAATGTAGTAACAATAATGCAACAACTATAGTAAAGTGTAATAAAACTTTTAATAGCTCGCCACTGTATCACCTGATCATTCATATTTGAACTTTTGCGCATTTCTCTTCTCTGCTGCCCCGACAACAGTATGGTAACGCGTCTAAAGCGCTCACGTGCCGCACACTTTCTACTTACGATATTAAAGTGTCTCACAACGCTGCGGGAGACGTGATATTTTATCAGAGTACAACATGACGCGTATCATACGCCGACCGACGTTACGTGTGAAATACTTTCTTCTTCGTCGACAGAAGTCTCCGCGAGCGTCCCCCGCACATCTCATCTCGAGCGTCTTCGTTCGCATATTAATGTGTTATTATGTATACCTAATAAGTAAAGCGCCCGGAGAAATTTCTTTCAGTCGCGGACGACTTATCACGAGCGCGTTACGTATAGTTCGATATTGCGCGTAATCGTGCGTGGAACGCATACGATTCTTATCCATGACGGCAGTCTTTCTCCATATACGATCGCATATTGTATCCCGAGCTACATTCGTGGGACGAGATACGAGAGCGTCTTTCGTCACGGACACTCGATCGAGCAGTTCGTGCTCCAGGATGCAGCCGAGCCGTGTCTAAATGGATTTCACGCTCGCACGAATGCGAGAGTACGTGTATCATCGCGTCGAGATGCGATACGCTTGTGGAACGAGCGTGCACGCGGGATTTTCTGTGTAAACGCACGTGTTAGCCATCCGGACGGAGTTGACGGTGGTGTTGTACGGTAGCGGCCGGTACGGACCCTCGAGCTTATCGCGACATTATTTACCCCCATATGTCGATTTATGGCCCTTCCATTAGGGACGAGTCCGCCGGGCACCACGGGAGTTCTACAATTCCGACGCCAGGCGGAACCGGGGATACCATCTCATTGGGAGACGAGAGATTCTTGTTCTTTATCACGCCCTTCGTTATGAGTTGGTGGATGAAATATTCGTCTGACTTCCGTTACAACCTTGTATTCATCGCGAAGTTCTAAATGAATCTCTAGATGAAGTTCCGAATGGAACTCTCCGGCAGTAATGAACAGCGCAGGAATGTATGGCATCAGATCTCGCCGAATTAATATTTCGTACTGATATAATAGAAACTTGCATGAATGTATCTGTCATTTTGATTTGTGTTCTTCTTCTTTGTGTTACAGAGACACCTCGACAAGGGAAGCGATCTTGCCGAGGCGGCGAGCGCAAGCGGACTTCGGGAGCTCGCGAGATCTTTGAAGCAGCACCTACGAGGATTCGGCTCCCGCTTGGAAGATAGACGGGAATACCTGGAGGACACATCGAGATGTTGTCTCCTACAGGATCGCGCCTACGAGTGGGCGCAGGAAGCTCGACTAGCGAGCGAGAGGAGGTCTCAGCAATTCTTGATGGCGAGACCACCTCTACCACCCGAACACTTCACCGAGATGATGGCTCTAGCAGAGAAGCTCGGTAACGAAGTCCTTCTAGACCAATGTCGTATTGCCCGGAATAAATGCGCGGAAGCCCTCGAGATTGCCAGGACCACGTCCGCTCCAGGAAGTCCTGCGAGGAGAAGATCCTTCATCGCTTCCGAGTCGACTTCTTGGGACGATACCTTGGCTAAAAGTGAGGCTTCTTCTTTTCTTTCTCTTTTCTTAAAACCATTGCGAGAAGATCCACAAGTTGAGATTAAATGTATTCCAGGAACATCCTGGGACGACAGCGACAGCAGCGCGTCTTATGCTTGTCCGATGGAAAGCGTCGGATCAGGTGGTAGCGGTGGTCGACCGGTGTTGGACAACATCGCCGAACTTCGAGAGAGTGCCGAACAACTTTTAGACTGTTCACCACCACGTACACCACCGCGAAGTCCGGCACCACGAAGGCTGGTTAAGCCACCAGTAAACTCGCACCTTCACAGATCAGCTAGTATCGCGCCAGGAATGAAGGCGAAAAAGTATGATACTTGTACATCTATATCATTTCTTTATCTTTTTTCTAAGATTAATCTGCAGCAAAAATTTCGAAAAAATCAAGATATGATAAAATAATTAATAAAATGAATTAATATAAAAAAATTTTTTAATTTAAAATGGAAGAGAGAGAGAAAGAGTGAAATCATTAGTATCCTAGGTGCGACATTTTATTGCTGTCATTGCTATTTTAGTAGCGACCCATTGTTCGACCGTAATTTCCGTTATGCCATCGTACCGATTGTTATACGATCATAACGAAGAATTTCACCTTGCAGAACAATACTGCTCATAATGAGGGAGATGATACAGACTGAACGAGACTACGTAAAGTCCCTCGAATATATAATAGAGGTAATTATTATGTACATATTGTTAAAGTTTATTCTCGCATAATTTCATTATTTGCCGCACGTGCTGAGTAACATCTGTAAACTTTTTTGTGAAGAATTATATTCCGGAACTCGTACGGGAGGATATCCCACAAGCTCTCAGAGGACAGAGAAACGTAATCTTCGGGAATGTTGAGAAGATATACGAGTTTCATAGTCAACACTTTCTACGCGAACTAGAACAGTGCGAGCAATCGCCGATGCTGGTGGGACAATCTTTCCTCCGACACGTAAGCATAATCTATATCACACTATATTGAAGATCTTGATAAATCCAAGACATAAAAGTAAAATGTCACGTTAACTTTCTTGCAGGAGAAGAAATTTTATCTTTACGCCTTGTACAATAAAAATAAACCAAATTCCGATTCGCTAATGGCAGAATACGGCACGAGTTTCTTCAAACAGAAACAATTAGAATTGGGAGATAAAATGGACTTAGCTAGCTATTTACTGAAGCCGGTTCAGCGAATGGGAAAATACGCCTTGCTACTTCAGCAGCTGGTCAAAGCTGGCACAGATTTATCGGAACAATTGTCTGGCAAAGAAGAGAAGGAGGAGAAGGAAGATGGTATGAAACCGATGGTCGAAGGTGAAGCGGATTTGAGGGCTGCCGAGCAGATGGTACGATTTCAGCTTCGACATGGGAACGATCTTTTGGCAATGGATTCACTTCGTGATTGTGATGTAAGAGAGAGTTCCATTTTATTATGTTTAAAGTAATACAATCAAATTGATAAATATCTACTTCAGTAAATGAGTGAGGATTATAATAATTTACATAATTATATTGCACAATATAAAAGATGTAATGTTATTTTGTAGGTAAATGTAAAAGAACAAGGCAGGCTGCTACGGCAAAATGAATTTTTAGTTTGGCAAGGAAAAGGTAAAAAATGCCTACGACAAGTATTCCTGTTCGAAGATCTTATACTCTTCAGTAAAGCAAGAAGATTTCCCGATAGGAAGGTAAGATTTTCCACATATTACTGCGTGTTAATTTTAATGTTATATTTTTGTTTTATTTCATTACTTATAAGTATATTTTTTCAGAATCTTGATATTTACATCTATAAACATAGTATTAAAACGACAGATATCGGTTTAACAGCCGTTATCGCAGATTCGCCTACAAAATTCGAAATCTGGTTCCGCAAGAGGAAACCAGGAGATACATACACGTTACAATGCGCAAGTGAAGATATTAAGAAAGCCTGGACCGAAGAACTGAGCAACCTCCTGTGGAAGCAGGCGCTTCGAAACAGAGGTGATTCACTATCTTTACTACCTTTATAAAAAAAAATGTAATCTATATTTGGGAGAGCGCAAATTACTACGATAATGTTTCACTTTTTAGAAGTGCGCCTGGCAGAAATGTCGAGCATGGGCATTGGGAATAAGCCGTGTTTAGATATAAGGCCTAGTGCAGATCAGATAAATGATCGCTCCATCAGTGTGGCTCAACTCTCTAAGAGTGAGTATATAATTTACGAATTATCAAGAGCCATTGATTTATATTATATCATTGTTCTGAATATTAAAACAAATATTTCAATTTGTCCGTATAGCACCTAGATTTAGAAACTCTATAGCAGTGTCAATGACGGAGGACTCCAGTCGTTGCAGCAGAAGGCCGCACAGCGTAATTTCCGTTAGTTCATCCTCGAGCAGCGGTGGAAGCAGTGGTCCTCCTACGACGCTTAATCTTGGGTTAGATACGAGTCCACGACCACATCATCGTAGTACTACACTGAATAGTCAGTGCAGCGTCGGTGAGTATCGTACGCTTTGATCTCGATAATCGTTTAAGGAAATTCGATATGTTAGTACTAATTCATAACATTCTTATAGAAAGTGGTATTATCGCCGATATCTCAATCGTGTCGGATGATGGAGGTGACGGCACTGAAAGAAGTCATTGGAATTCAACTCTGGAAAGTCCTACGTCGCATCTACCTACAACTTCCACCCCACTGCAGTCACCAACCAGCGCAACTGCGGCAACAGTTACCCCTGCTTCCTCGACGGATACGAATCTCACCTCTTATGACCAAGACATGTCTATTAATCTGTGAACTTTGTTTGACACGAGGGAAAAAACAAGTCTGTCATTGATTCACTTGCAAGTTTTTGTTACGATTACAAAGATGTAACACATTATCGTGGCATATTTAGATAGGTATAATGAGGTAATATCGTTGCACGCGTACTGTAGCACTAGAATACATTGTACTCTTGAGCAACTATAGTTTAATGACGTAATGGAAAAAATATAAAGCATGCAATTCGGTAGATCACCGCATTACGCTTAACACGTGTGCCCAGCTACAAACTTGTAATCGTATTACATAAACGTAGATTATCTTAAAGTCGCGGAGATGTGGTACCGAATTTTAATATTTTTAACTTTCAAGTGAATCCGTCTGTAAATCTATCTTTTGATACGCTTTGAAATATCCAGATTTATGAGAATATAAAGCTATTACTTATGAAGCTCACTAATAACCGGTTTCTGAAGTAATGGCAACGTGTATTTTCTTATTCCGTCTATTAATTTTATCAACGTGCTCAAGACAAGACAACCATGTTCTATCAGATGTACTCTCATATGTCGAGATATGCTACAGTACCATAAACGATATGCACTTGTCGCCATCCTCATTTACATTGGCATTCCTGATTACAGCGGCGGAAAATTTCGTGAAATTTCCGATGACTTATGACAGAGCGAAAGAAAGAGAGAGAGCGAGAGAAAGAAGAGAGTTTTATACATTTATTTATATTATAGTTAATAAATAGTAATATTTCAATTCCACATTGTGTTCGCGCTTATCTTTATATTATATTAAGGAAAATATATGATCATCTTAAAAACATAATGCATACAGAAATTGAAGAAAATATATATTTTCCTTAATAATCATCCATATTATATCGATGTTATCTCTCGAGGAGATGCATCTAATAAGTTGATTATGGATTATATATTCAGGAATGTCAAATCAATGCGCACACATACATACTAATTTGTAATATAATGTAATATCAAAGGTTTATACAATATAGCCGCAAATAATATAACCAATAGTTTATATATTATTTCCAGATTATATATCAAATATATATATTAATATAATATTATATTCTTTTTATGTCGGAGTCATTTGTAAAACCTTTTATCACCCATCGTAGATGTAAATCTAACTCTGGCCTGTACTCGAAAGCCAAATTTTTTTATGAAATACTATTATGTTTAAGAAATAAATTTGTTTTTATGTATATGTGTGGATAAATGTTTTGGAACAGCTTAGGATCAATTAAAATGGTAAGCTTGCCTTAAGACAATCCACACTATATGTTCTAATGTTTTCTTTCATAAAGCAATTAATTCAACTATGCAGAATCACTCATATCTTCTTACTTAACAACTAGCCGGAAATATTTATTATAGATACAATAATTATATATCAATATTATTGTTAAAAAACTGTAAAATTTGCAATTAAGCAATTTTAAAAGATGATATTTGAGGAACGAAAAAATTAAGATCAATTTCACGAATCTTTAGACAGTCTTTAATACTAATTTAAAAAAATATGAATAAAATAATAATTGTTTGCTAATACGTGATTCTGCATTGTTACATTTGCTTCCAAATAAGTCGATTAATTAGCCATCTTTATTGCCAAGGTCTGTCAAGGTACTGTAAGTACCTTATGGATAGTGACCAAACTGTTTATTTTATACCTTGTTTTGAGGATAGTCCCAAGTATTTAGAAGTATAGCTGTAGATTCTAGAGTATTACAAAGAATTTGGCACAGTCCGATGCACCTTATTTTATTATGCATTTAATCACAATTTATAATGATTTTCAATCACGTAATTAATTGTGTTTACCTGAATTTAAATTATAACATTAGTATGCCATACGTACATCGGTGCACCTGGCTGAGCATCCCGAGCTTCGAAGGTAAAACTAAACAAAAGAAAGTAAACAATCTCTATTTTCCACATGTCTGTGAATGCGTGTTTGGTGTTGCTTTTGAATTAGGGATGTGGAGTAACAATAACAAAATAGTACCTTATAAGAAAATATGCCTATAGTCATTTAATATTATACGTTCTTAGATATTTATTAATATTTTTTTAAGTAGAACATTTTAGTCTCTCTAGATTAAGTATTTCCGTTATAAATGACATGTATATATTACATTTAATAACACACCATTATTTCAGTATTGTACTGTGTCTAACACCGATGTATTTTATTACTTGCTAAATATACTGTATTGGGTGCCTTTTGTAGAGAACTCAAATGTTTTTGTGAAAGTTATCACACCGTATTATCTACCACGTATGTCTACCATTTCCAGTATGTAATTATTTGCCGGAATAAATATTTCGATGTTTCATATGTTTCGAATGATTATTACAATCGTCATTTCGGCATTTATCGAGTTTTTGTACGTAGTAAAATTGTTACAAATAATTTAATAATTTAATTGTAATTTGATCACAATGCAAGACATTTTTATTTATATCTTACGTAACTCACATTTCTTAATTGAAATATGGAAAACAATACCTTTTAAAACATTTATACTATAAAGTGCAAAATATATAGTTAATTTTTGTTAATTGTGCATTTGTTAAATTTTATTTTTGGATATGATTAATTTGAGAAAAGCAATTATAAGCTGCTGCATAGTTTAAAACGTTATGGAGTATATGCCAAATATCTTAATGATTTGAAGCAGTTACAAGGCACGCGAAAGGCATATAAAAGTCATTATTTTATAAGAGATATTCTTTAGTGTTCAACCTAATGTTAAGCCATGCATATATTTGAGTTCTATGAAAAAGTACCATTATCTTGATAATATTAGTAAACAGATTACATATATTATATATTTTTTTTAAATTTACAGTTTCAACATGTGACTGGTAACTGTTTTTTTTTTTAAGTATAGAAAGTTACAAATACTACGTCAAAAACTAAAAAAATCTCCTCCTTTCAAAAAATTTTTTAAACTACAAAACTTTACAAAATCATAGAATTTTAAATATGTACAAAAAATATATCTACAAAAAATTAAAAAAATGTACAAATATCTTAGCAGTTTGCAATTATATAACAGTGCATTTCGTTTTACGTTTAAAGTTAATATCACAGGCCGAAAAAGTCATCGTTTGTCACAAATGTTTTTTATCTTGTTTTAAATCATCAGGACAAGAAGCAGATCTCTTAACACTTGTAAGATCAATTGTCGAATCATTTAAACATGGTTCTTGTTTTTGCGATTCTATTTGTTTCTTTTTCAATAGTGATCCTCCTGTAAAACCTAAAGACGCATAATTGCTCACAATCTTTAATTTTTATACCATTATCTCTTATGTAATTATTAATATAATTATTTCATTATCCAATTTAATTTTATACACTTATCATATAACTTACCAAAAATAAATAACTAATAAAATTAAGGAAAATGAGAATATAACGTAGGTATTTTAGCATAATTAAATTTATAATGTAGTTTCGAGTATTTACTTATACATAGTCCGAACATTTTGATTCTCTTTGTAGTCATTATCAGCGCTACAAAGATTCTTAAATTATCTGACACTTCACTCATTCTAATATAGAAAGTCACTAACAGATTAGATGATCCCCAGTGAGATATAAGAGTTTCAATTTAAATTATGTACAGAAATTCATAGAAAGATAAGAGAAGTATTAACAAATGTCGTTATACTTTTATTTGTCTTAATTTTATTAGTTAATTTCGAGAATTAGCGGGAAAGTCCTCTTTTCTATTATCACTTACCTAAAATACCACAACCTACGGCAGCAAGACCCCCGATTTTCAGTCCAGCTATTAAACCTATTGGTCCTCCAATACATGTGCCTAACATTGCACCTGCTAGAGGATACGCAGCAACTTTATACGCGGAAGCCTTTTGTAGATGCTTTGCTCCTTCATTCACATTTATTTGAGCATCTTCAATATTATCTTCCATATTATCTACCATCTCCTTCTGATCCTGTGATTAAAAAATATGCATTTAAGCAATCAAAATTAACAATCTGTTTCTTCTTTCTATGTGCTATTATGTAAAAAAATTTAGGTACTACTTTTTATCTAATTATCTTTTTGAAATGTATCATGTAATACAAAGTAGAATTATACTTACATGTACAACTTTGTTAAATTCAGTAAAAAGTTCATGCAACTGTTGTATATCTCCTTGCAAACGATTCCAAACATGCAGACATGTCTGTTGACGCTGCAAATTTTCTTGTTCTACTTGCAGTTGAATATTTCTGTCGTCAAGTGGATGTTGAATTTCATCTGGTTGGTTCTCTTTGCTTGTAGGTGACATAGGTGGTGATGCCGAAAAATTCAGTTCCATTTCTACAAACAACACATTTGTGTCAATATTAATTTCTTAGAATTTTATTGACCAAAAAGAGTGTTGCGTTATGTTTCTTACGTAGATATTCCTCGATCGCGCTCATGATACTTGACCTTGCATTCGTCGTCAATTTGTCAAATTTACCAATGTCAACATCGAGAACCTGTGCTCTAAGAGTATCCATCTGATATAACAACTCCTTCAATTGCTTGACGATCCGAGAGACATTTACATGTTCTTTCCGTACCTGCTCCCAATCGTGCTGATCTTGATACTGCAAAGATTAATTGCTCGTATCAAAGTCTTTAAAAGTATAAGATATGTAGAACTGTATATTTACCTTTTTAATGTTGTTCTTGTGTCGCTTTAACAAATTCACATGATGTGGAATAGCAACATTGAAATTATTGATCTGAATTTCCAGACGTCTAATAGGCTGCTTAATTGTAAGATTCTCTAATGATAACGACATTCTTCTCACAATGTTTTCCCTTACTCAGTTATAATGCTGTTTACTTTTTGTATTTCTTTGTGGTTTTTTTGTATCTCTTTTATGCCACAGTGTCAAAGTCTACTCTTCGTTTCAGTCTTTCTGTAGTTCTTATTAAGAAAATTTTTCACGACAAAAATGTTGGAAACACAATAACAGTTTGGTAACTACGTCTTATTATTTTGCCAAATGCACGCGTCTCTGTCCAAAATAAATAATCAGCTGTTGTCGCTGTTGATCTCCATATACACTGATATAAACACGCATAAAACTGTCAGAAAAAAGCCTGATTTTGTCCCCATCTGTAGTAGTAAATTTGTACTAAGCGGCTACAAGTTTTAATGGAACATTGTAAGATGGCAGGTAATGTATCTTTTATGTCCGTTTCTATTTTTTTATCGATGTAATATTTCTATTAATTTTTCTAATATACTTTTAGTATTTAATTATATAGCAACTATATATTTTATTATACAGAAATGAAAGGTATTCGGAAAGTCTACACAAATTAATAATTTCTAAACTGTTTTATTTTAAAATTATTAATTTATGATATCTCTAAAATATTATAATTTTATTTTTCAATATATATATAATAGTTATTATGGACTTCAGTGCATTTGGTTTTATCCTTTTTACAATTAATGAGATATATTTTACAGAAATGTATATTAATCTAAATTTTTTTACAAATATTGAAGAAATATTATATGTAATATTTGCTTGCACAAATATTTTTATTTTTTTCTCAGTTTAGCAGAATTAAGGATATAATTGATATGGTCATACTTAAACACACACTGTAAATATATCTACTATATAACCTTGTTATATTGTTACAAATAAGGACTGAAAAAACTTTACGCGAATCCTTTAGCAGATACATTTAGTGACATTCAAAAAATAATTTTCTTTATACCTATTAGCCTTGTATTTTAATCAGTTTCCTCATATCTTTTATATTTTTTATTAAATATGGTCCATCTTTGTTTAGACTGTATTATAAATTATATAGCATTGCATTTTCATATCAACTTCAGACAATCTTTAATTTTATCACATTTTTTATATACAATGCTATTCGTAAATTTGTACTAAATTTATCAACTTTGTGTGTATTTTAATATAATATTAATGTATGTATGACACTATTCATACTCTAACTCTCTTTAACTAATCTTTCGTTTATTACGCAGCTAATAAAACTACAAATAGAATTTTATCGCGAATTCCAACACGAATTATTACGTCTAGAGCAGACTTTGTTCGTAAAATACAGGAGAAATATTGCCTCAATGAACGCGCATATTTCGCGTTTATCGCTCGTCAAAAGTGTGCTTTTGTACAAATGATCGCGAAATGGAACGGCAGGCGATGTGACATTTCACCAAATGTCGTGAATAACGAGCTGTAATGATACAAAAAGGAAAATCGCTAATTGCGATTAACCCTAATGCTATAATCTTTTCGTTATGGCTGCCGCACACACTCTAGATTTGTTCGTGTCGCAAATGCTCCAACATGCTCCTATCATAGTTCTTACTTTAACGCGTTCATTGGAGTGAGTAGGAGTTATGGTAGGAGCATGTCGGAGCATGCGACACGAACGAATACTCTTTCATCTATAATATTAAGATATTACCTTAAAATGTCATATAAGCCAATCACAAAGCCATATTAGCATCTTGAGACAATACTTAAGACGATTTTCAAAGATAAAAACTGAATGTGAATACCAGCGATAATTCGTGCGCAATACCGGCAATGCATGCATGGAAACCAGCTGTATTCGAAAACTTCATCCGAATTCTTAAGACATATTATTTTAACCCTCTTTTACGTCTAATAAATAATAAAAGTATTATATTACAAATAATATAACGCATAAGGCACTCTGATGAATAGTTTCCGAACGCAGCCTGACGAGCGCGGTGAGCTGCGCATGCGCGGCCGCGGCGCGAAGTTTCGCGTTTCGCCGCCATTGTTTCGCGCGTTTCGCGTCGTCGGCACGCGAATTTCCGTGGTTTCCGTGTAAAAAAAACAAATAGTCTCGCGTACGAATAAATATCGGGAGTGCTGAATAAAATACCGAATGCTAAAGGTCATCCTAAATGCGGTTAATTAGCGCACGCGAGAACAGGTAACGCGGGTAAACCGCTGTTTGTGTCAAACGTTGCCGTGTCCGTTGTGTGTATGTTCGTTGGTTTGAAATCGTGCGTTTGACACGTTCCGTCAATAACGTAATCGGTTAATCGTCGCGTGCACACCTTTATATCGTTTTCTCGCTGCACCGCGCACTGTGCAATCGGGTATTAAAAGTGTCGGCCGGCCTGTCGGACAGACGAGTTAATTCAGGTACGTACATACATACGCGCGAATTGTAATCAGAGATTTCGGAGCTGCGTTGTATTAATTCATTACCTTCCAGTCAAAATGTGAAGCTTGAAGCTGACATTAATTTTCTTCTTGCTTCCTTTTTTTAATTCTTAAATTTTTATTTTTAAATGCTATACTATGGAAACAACATACATTAGATATAGTCATACTCAACTCAATTCAATTACTTGTAATTTTTACAAAATAAACATATTGTTTTAATATAAAAAACGTTGAAATTATTTAATTTGCATAAATGTAATGGAAAGTTGCTTTTCTAACGAAAAGATATTTAAGGATGAATACAGCGTAACTGATACATATTGATAACTTTTTTAGATTAATAAAAATTAAGTTTTTAGTAATCTATATGTAATTATATTTATTGCAGACATTTAATGGGATCGTCGAAAGGCAACGCCAGAGGATTTGTGATGTATTTGCATGTAGAGCTGAGATGCACATAATACAAGCGTCTATCTTGGATATAAAGCAATCTTGGGTACGTCTGATTAAAGATTCTTTTTGTTAGGCTTATGAGAAGAATAATTATTAAACTTAAAATCTGTTACATTAAGAATAACTAAAGTAAGAATAGAATTTTTAAGAATTTTCTTACTCTTGGAAGTTTAATAAAAAATTTCTATCAAAAATATAGTAAAATGTAAATAATAAAATGAAAAATACATAAAATATAATGCATATAAATAAAATATATGATAATATTATATAGTATGACTTATATAAGAATTGAATAAGAAACAACTTCAGTTAAAATATTTTTATCATATTTATTTTTTTATAGATGTAATGTAATTTAGCTTTGCAAATTTGTATTTCTGGTTATGTAGAAAATGAGATATCTTATAAATGTAATAGCTTTCTAATTTTAAAATATAAATCTCGTTATTTACATATATAAGATAAAAAGGATATTGTATAAACAGCATTCTACTTGAAAATAATCTCATTAATTTAATAATAATGCTAATGAAATAAATAATATTTTATTAGAACAAAAGTAATTAATATTTATTTTATTAATATTATTATATGATTAACAAAATTATTTTCAATTAGACTGCTATGTTGTTAATATATCATTTTTCCCATGTAAATATTCAGAAAATCTTGAAACAAAATAATTACTTTTAATATCAGGTAAATATATTATAAGTTATAATCACACGAATTTTCTTTCGATGCGAAGGTTTTCAGATTCAGTTAATATTATTTAAAATTTTAATAACGTATGAGAGATGCATAATTTATCATAGAAAACTCTTGATAAAGGATCAGGAAAGAAGTCACGAGTGGAATGCACGAATTTTACGAGAATCAGTCGATATGTCGTTTTACCGTATTAGCTTTGACACACAATCCATTTCCGCGAATTGAAGATTTGACGTGAACAGCACCCGGCCCGCGTATTTTTATCCCGCATCCGATGAAAATTATGGGCAGCACGCTCGCGAGATGTATGCACCGAGATTATCAATTATGTGATTCCGGTGCTCGGTGGGTCCGCGGAATCCCGGTGAGTTTTACAGGGGGTTGCCGAATGTACAATTTGGTATAAAGCCCGGCGAAGCTTTTGGTAATGAAAAACCGATTGCGACCAAATAGGCTCCGGGCTGCTGGTGACGTGTAATCGAGTCTTCTCTTCTGTCGCTTCGTCGTATCCACCCTCGGCCCCTTTTTGTCCTCCCCTTCGTTTCACCCTTCCTCCCCCCGTTCACATCTCGTCCTCCCTCTGTCCCTTGATTTTCCCCCTGTCCCATCCGTGCTTCTTCTTCCACCCTTGATTTCTCCTCCGGCTTCCATTAGCCGCCATACGTCGTCTGTACACAGAGATCCGTTTTGTCCTGCTTTCGCATGACCTTTTATTTCAAACTACCGTATTCAAATTACCGCGGGCTATCTGGATATTCGATCCTTTGACCTTTTGTCGCTGGACGTTTAGAAGCGCTTTTAAACACTGCCCAGGATTTCCTTCATCGTTCACCGCTACCTAGATTGTGTTAAATACAGGATAAAAGATAATTTATCTTTTTCTTGAATTAATTTCATTTGGGATTGATTATTTAATGATGAATATGCCCGTCTTTTATGTATACATAATTTTATTTTGCATATATAAAGTATCATTAATTTTCTTTGAGATATTTCTCAGTGATTCGTCTTTAATATTCACTTTTAGCTTTTAGCATATTTTCTTTAATATAAAAAACGTTGAAATTATTTAATTTGCATAAATGTAATGGAAAGTTGCTTTTCTAACGAAAATGTTTTTTTTTTGTCATAAATTTTTAAATCCTATAGTCTCGTTTCTGACTTCGATATTCCTACAGATTCGCTTCTGTGAGAAATAAATAAGTCCTAATTAAAAAAAATATTAAATATTTGATTCTCAACAGAAATATAAATTTCTTTTAATAGGTATACTCTAAATATTCCTTAATTTTATAGCGATTGTGTTACATGATGCATACATTATTGTGGTTAAAACACCCTTCTTATTATTTTTATTAATAAAAATATTAATTTGTCATATCGATTGTTCATCAATCATATTAGAAGATAATTAAATTTTAATTTTGTATGGAGAAGAGAAATTGAGATTGTAAGAGGAGTTGCAGATAATTGTACTATTCGAACTTATTTGATTTGCTCATATCCTTATGTCAAATTAATTATAAGCCAAAGAGAAGAGAGAGAGAGAGAGAGAGAGAGAGAGAGAGAGAGAGAGAGGGGGGGGGGGCGATGGTTGCGCTTTGTCTTCCCTTATTCGTTAATTAGGGAATCCGAATCCAGAGTCTCTAAGGCGGAAGTTAGGTACGTATAAATTTGGA